TTTGTTTATCCACTCATCAGCTGATGGACATCTAGGTTGTTTCCACTTTTTATCTATTATCGATAATGCAGCTATGAACATTGCTGTACAAGTTTTTGTATACACATGCGTTTTCATTTTTCTTGTTTATATACCTAGAAATGGAATTTCTGGGTCATATAGTAACTGTATGTTCACCCTCTTGAGGAGCTGACAGATTGTTTTTCACGGCAGCTGTACTATTTTCCATTCCCACCAGCAGTGTGTGAGGGTGTCATTGTATAATGATGTTTCATTGAGACATCACCATGGTGTCTCATTGTGGTTTTACTTTTTATTTCTTTCATGTGCTTATTGGCCATTTGTGTATCTTTGGAGAAATGTCTATTCAGATCCTTTGTCCATTGGGATACTTGTCTTTATTATTGAGTTATAAGAGTTCTTTACACATTCTTTTTTTTTTTTTTTTTGACTGTGTCGTGCGGCTTGTGGGACCTTAGTTCCCCAACCAGGGATGGAACCTGGGTCCCTGGCAGTGGGAGCACCGAGACCTAACCACTGGACCGCCAGGGAATTCCCATCTTTATACGTTCTAGATACAAGCCCCTTATCAGAGATGTGATTTGCAAATATTTTCTCCATTCTGTGGTTTTTGTCTTCTTGATGGTGTCATTTGAAACACAAAAGTTTTACATTTTGATCGTGTTCAATTTATTTTTTTTCTTTTGTTGATTGTTCTTTTGGCATCATATCAAAGAAACTATTGCCTAATCCAGAGTCGGGCCAGGCTGTGGGCATTTTGGAGAGATGGCAGGGCCAGTCCCTGCATCTTGACAATGGGCACATAGCACAGGGTGACCAACAGGCTACCTGTGAACTTGGGAGCTCCAGTTTCAACTACACCCCTCTTGAGCTCAAGGAGCAAGGCCCTATCCTTCCCGGTCAGCCTGGCTCCTCCCTGGGCCCTCCTCTCAGCCTCTCCTGCCCTCACCTCCCTGACCCAGGTGGCTACATGAGGGTCCAGGGGAACAGTCCCTCTTTATGGGAGGGGCATGGGTCTAGATGTCCCACTCCCTGACTCTAGCCTGAACTCAGCTCAGGACAGGCCCCCCCATCCTTGGTTGCTCCCACTGCCCCCTTCCTGCTGCCAGCCCAGCTTCCCCCAACCCTGTCCTGAGCAGGGTGACTACTCTCCTCACTGCCCCACCCCTAGTCTCCATGTTCACATACCCATTCTTTTCCCTCTCCTGTCCCTCGGGGCTCTGGGGCTCAGTCTAGTACCGAGCATTCTACTGTGGCCTGACTGGGTTGGATGCACAGGGCTCCAGCTGGGGCGTGGCTGTCCTGTCTTCCAGCCCTGCCTCTGCCTCTAACTTCTCTGGGATCCTGAGCAACTCCTACACCTCATAGCTCTCAGTTGCCTTGTCTACCTCACAAGGGGGCCAATGGTCCCTTCGGCCTCTGTCATTCCGGGTCTCCCGTCCCTGGTGGGTGGGGATCTCAGGTTAGCACCAGCTCTCCTGGGTCCCTCACCCCTCACTGCACCAGGAGATGGAGCCGGCAGTGGAGCGGGGCCCCTGCTAGGTGTGCACAGGGGCGTGGTCCTCCCTCCCTGTGACCTCAGGACTGCCCCCGCCCCCCAGACCGATCTTCACTAATCATAGGGATGAGACCCACAAACAGGGCTTGGCTAGGAGTTGGGAGCACTCCCTGTCATCCTGCGCCCCTCCCATCACACCCCAGGGCCATGGTGGGGAGCCTTCCCACTGCCCAGCCTCCCAGTTCACATTTGTTCTCCACCCGTCCCCCCAAAGTGGTCCCGTGGTCAAACATGTCCACATCTTTGACTCTACTCCCATCAAAAGGTGGGATCTAACTCTCCTCCCTGGAATCTGCTGGCCTTAGGGATTTGCTCCTCAAGAACAGAACATGGCAGTGGCACTGTGGGTCGTCCAGGGCAAGGTTCTAAATGATGAGGCAGTTTCCGCCTGGCTCTCTCTCTCTCAGGACGCTGATCCCTGGCTCCCAGCCACCACCAGGCTGTGAGGCAGCCCAGGCCCGTAGAGAGGCCACAGGTAGGTGACGGGGCCGAGGGCCAGCGTCAGCCACCAGACGTGAGACCATTGAGCCTTCAGATGATTCCAGCCCCCAGGCTTCAAACTGCCTCAGTGGAGCAGAGACAGCTATTCCTGCTGGGCCCTGCCCAAACTGCAGATTTCTGAGCAGAAGAGATGTTAGGTTAAACCACTGACGTGGGTGCTTTGTTACAGAGCATTAGGTAATTGGAGCAGGTTGCAAGCCCTGGCTGCTGCTGCTTTCTGCCCAAAGACGAGTGAGTGTGTGTGTGTGTGTGTGTGTGTGTGTGCGCGCGCGCGTGCACGCACACGCGCGCATGTGTTGAGGGGGGAGCACGGTATTCAGCCTGAGGCTTGAGGCTGCTGGATCGTTTGAGACCTCAGGACCCAGATTCCAGCTGGGCCACTCAGCTGATACCAATTTCTGCTAAACTTCCTAATTGGAACCCTGCTTCTCCCTTTACCGTAGCCTAGTTCAGGGCCTTGTTAGGATAGGTCCTTCCTGTATTTGCATGTGATTTGTGTGCAATTTGCATACATCTACATGAGTCATATTAGGTGGTTTTTAAAGGTTTCTGCCTCCCTCCCTGGGGGAGGTACTACCATCTTGGACTCTGGAGGGACAGGGGCACTGGAAGTTACCTGGTCTGCTCTCCCATCCACTCACTGTCTGCTCCACCACATGACAACCCATCACCTCCCCAGGTGGTCCTTGGATGGCTTAGGTTGATGAACAATTTCTGTGTTTGTGGAGCTCTGTGTAAAGAAAGGTGAGGTATTATGTCTACATGTGGACTTAGTTCTTTCCTCTGGGAAAATCAATCAACCGCTTCCCCCAACACTTTGGACAGGTACCATGGCGGTCTCAGGATTCTCCTTCTCAGCTCAGCATCCACAGCGCCATCACTGTTTTTGGTCTGACATCGACCCCAACCACCCCTTCTGGCCTCTTCCAGGGGCTTTCAAATGTTTCTTTTAGGAGCAGTATCCTGTTTTCAAATGAAATCTCACGTGGAGTCTAACATGTTAAGACAGGTAAAAATAGAGCTGCTCTAGGTGAGGGGGGGCAGGGAGGCTCCCCCAGGCCCCTAGCCAGAGCTGGAGAACCCAGCTTGCAAACCACTATCCTCTCAAACGATGCCTCTGGGTATAGAATCCCACCCTCCAGACTTGCAGAGCCTCCCAGGGGTGAGCCCTGGCTTTCCATTTCAGCAGCAGAGGGGACACTGACCGTCTAAGCAGTTGCATTACACCATTGCCTCTTACTAAGCTCGAGGCCCGCTGAGACCTCCTGATCTTTGTCAGCACAACACCTTTAAGCCAAGTCTCTCGTGGTCTATCCTCAGCCTTGGCAGCCTCAGATACCTGGCTTCAGGAGCCTGGACTGAAGAGAGAACAGGGAGGAATAAAGAGGGCTGGCCAGGGGTCTGGCTGTGTGCTCTGAAGACAGTCACCCAGTCAGAGCCCCAGTTTCCTCAACTTCAGGATGGGGAGGAAAACAGTCCTTTCTCATAGACAGTGCATGAAAAGCATATAGCCCCGCCCAGCAGCTGGCTCAATACTGGTGGTCTGTCACTATAGGGCCGAAGGACTGGTCTCGGATCCCTCACTGCCAGCTAAGGAGGCACAAGCAGTGGTCAGAATTGCAGACTCTGGAACCTGGCGACCTGGCCCGGACACAAACTCTGATCCTGCTGAGACTGGCAGTGTGAGATTCAGGATGTTTCCTTCCTTTCTCTTATCCCTTCTCGGTTTCATCATCTGTAAGAGGAGATGATGATAACTAGAACATCGACCTCCCAGGGGGTTGTGAGGACCTAGGCAGCCTCCCCGCCTGTGGAGAAGACCCTGCATGCACGGTGCCTGTAAGTAGTACCCCGGGGTCTGCTGTTATCCCCACGGGCTCTGACCCTGTCAGGGTCCACCTGGCTCACCACCCTGGCTCCCCTAATCCCAGCACTCCCACCCCTCCCCCAGGGCCTGACACAGCCACCAAAACACCCAAGATCCACTTTGGCAACAGGACTTTTATTCAGTCAAAATGAGTGTGATAAAACCCAAGACAGGCCAGGTGGCCCCCCTCCCCCAGACCCACACTTTCCTTGGGAGAGGGGGTTCCAGGATGAAAGGAGGTGCAGAGAAGTCGCTGCAGGGACCAAGGGGCACTGCCTGGGAGGTCTGAGGTGCCCTGGGCTCAGGCCCAGTACTGGGGAGAAGGGACGATAACCTTCCCCGAGTCCACACAGATGAAACCGCAGTCTTCCAGGAAAACACCACCAAGTGTACCTTCTTCAGCTAATTCACTAAAGTTGGGGGCGGGGGTCCCTAGAGGGTTGGGGGGGGTCAGGGACTTTATGGTCTAATCTCATACTTAAGGAATGCACATTTTTTTCCTTTTAAAAAAAGTTTTCTTTCTGCTATTTAAAAAAATGTTTCTGAGTGTAACCAAAAATAGGTATTTGTTTCCTTTTTTTTTTTTTTCTTCACCTTTAAGTCTTTCAAAGAACAACACAACAGAAAAGAGAAACAAGAAGTCACAAGAACATAAATCCTTAAACACACCTTATAGAAAAATAGCTTCCGGCCACATCTGCTGACATCGGTTGTTCCACTGTCCAGGGGCTGGGTCCAGCTGGCAGTGTCCCAAGGGACAGTGGGCTGGGGACCCCCCCTTGCACACACACACAGTACATTCCGGAGGCCCGTCTGTTCCAGCGGCTCTGTGGGCAGGACAGGAGGCAGGCTGTGGGGTGACAGCCCACCTTCCCAAGGCCCACGTGCAGAGAGGGTCCTGGGGGTCCCAGTCAAGGATGAGTTGGTGGAGAGGGTCAAAATGGGAGTGGACAGGCAGACAAGACAGAGCACTGGGAGCGTGCTGGGAAATGGCTAGTTTTTGTTCCCAGGAACAAATTCTCCTCTTATTTTTGGCTTTTTTTTCACATTTTCTTTGACCAATTCCATCTTTCTTTCTGCAGGCCCCGAGAAGCCCACACTTGGTGAGGAGTCAGGAGGGAGGGTCCAATGATACAGCACAGGCCCGGGAGCCAGCGAGCCTCGAGGTAGACATTTTCTTTCACACCTGGAAATGGGGAAGTGCTTTTTTTTTTCCTTTTTTTTTTTTTTCCTAAACTCTGGACAACAATGTGGGGAGGGAGAGGGGGTGCCCCTCAAGGGGCTCGAGGTAGGAGTACATTCGGGGCTCTGTGGGGCGGGGGGGCTGAGGCCACGGCCCCACTCCCCTGAGGACATTCATGCCGGCTGAGGTAGGTGCTGAGAGCCAAAACAGCAAAAATCCATCCTGAGAAAACAAGTCGTGGAGGGTGACAGTGTCAGGGGCCCAGCCACAGCAGGGGCACATGTTTGGAGTCGAATTCACCTTTCTCTCTCTTCTCTTTCCCTTTTTTTTTTTTTTAAATTTTAAGTTTGTTCTTTTTTTAAAGAAAAACGTTAGTTCAGTTCCAAGTCATGTGGGTACCAGGCAGAGGTTGGGGGGGGGGGGCCTTGGCCCAAGGGAGGGGCTCCCGCAGGAACCCCTCCGGGTCCTTGCAGGGTGTCCCTTGCCAAGGCTACTGTAAGTCTTGACAATCAGAGGAGCAGTCAGGACAGAAATGCTGGGAAGCCCCCATCCGAATCCCACATGACAGGAGAAATCTTGCCTTTGACCTGAGAATGGGGGGTTGCTCCCTCCAGAGCCTCCTGGACACTGGCTACTGTCCCGAGCGAGCTGGCAGGGCGGCTGGTCCTTCACTCAGGAGGCCGGGGCCCGTGTCCTGGGGTGGCAGGGCAGCGAGGGGGCCTACACAGGGGGCCTTGGCCTCAGACGTCATCTCCTCCAGGAGCCCGAACCCCTGAAGCGGCAGCATGGAGAACTGGGTCTCCTCACACAGGGTAGGGGCCTCGGGGTCCTGCTGGGGAAAGGGCCAGTCACACAGGCGTCAACAGGAGGGCCACAGGCTCGTGAGCCCCCAGCCAGGGAGTCAGGCTCTGGAGCCAATCCCACTCGGGGGTTCAGTCTCCAGGCTTCCCTGCCTGACCCGGGGGCACAGAGAGAAGCACCAGCTGCCAGTCTTGTGCCTGGAGAAGCCCTGCAGCTTGGCGGAGGCCGGTGACCAAGGCTTGTGACCAAGGTGAGGAGGGTGGAGCCTGAAGGAGGGGGTTGGCTCGGGGGAAGGCGGGGCACTCACCGTGGGTCTGGGGTTAGGTCTGGGGTCGGGCTGCCCCACGGCCCCCGCTCGGGGAAATAGCTGCTCCAGTTCCTTCATGTCCACATGTTTCCCATCTCGGCCCAGCTGGCCCCGCTCTCCCTGTCCCGCCCCATTCAGTGCCAGGATGCCAGGGTCCCTCTGGCTCCGGGGGCCCTGAGGAGGGGAGAGCTGGTTTTCTACATCCTTACACAAGAGGACCCTAGGGGGTGAGCCAAGAGTTAGGGGGAGGGATGTGGGAGGAGCAAGAACAAAAGGATGGAGACAATGGGCCCCAAACCCTGCCTCCCCTGCGGTTTTCCGGCTCCAGGCCTGTCTACCCCATGCTGGCCCAGCCCCCTCTCCCTGGCCCAGGACCCACCTGCCCCTTTGGCCGAATAAGAGGAAGAGGACACAGAAGATGATGCAGGTGACCCCGATGTGGATGCCAATGACGATGCCTGTGGTAGACGTCTGGTTGGTGGCCTCCTCCTTCCGGCAGTCACATGGTGGGCTCAGGGCTGGGGGTGGAAGCAGCGGCAGGTTGGGGGCTGTGGCTCCCAGACACCCAGCCCTTGAGGGTTACTTCTCCCTCGGCTGCTCGACATATGAGTTGTCCTCGTTAATGGGACCCCAGCCCAACCTTTAGGGTTTTTTTACCAGTTACTGAGCACTAACTTTGTGCCAAATACTGGGAATAACACTTTACATGGACCATTTCACCCTCCAGACAGTTCTATAAAGCGGGTATTACTATCCCTGTTTTATGAAGGAGAAAACTGGGGCTCAGAGAGGTTAAGTAACTTGCCCAAGGTCACACAGCCAAACAGCAAACTCAGGTCTAAGCCTTGTTCTCCAGGGCTGCATGTACTGTTCTACCCTCCTGCCTTCCCTGGATGCCTGCTCCCCTCCTCCCTCAGCCTCTCTTCCTGAAGGCCAGTCTTTAGCCAGACCCCATCCCCAGCCCTCACCTGTCCTCTCAGATGCTCCCCTCAAAGACACGAAGCGGACTGTGGCATTGCCATCCCCATGCTGGTTGTAAGCGAGCAGCTTCACCTCATACACTGCAGTGGGGTCTGGGGGGAAAGCCAGGATGCTGAGGGACCTCCCCCGGCCCCACCAGGCGGCTGTCCGCAGGGTGAACTGGAGAAGACCTCTGTGAACCACCTCCTGGCACCAGGCACCACACCCCCGCCCAGCTCCCCAAGCCCCAGCCGTGTCCGCCTCACCGAGCTGGCTGAGGTTGTAAGAGGAGACAGTTCCAGGCAGCAGGATGGGGCCGGTGAAGGAGGCCTTGCTTGCTGGGCGGTAAAACAGCTTGAAGCCGCCCTCGTGCTGGGCCAGCCGGGGCCAGGGCTCCCACAGCAGCTGCAGGGTGGAGCTGCCCAGGACTCGCACTGACAGTGGGGGTGGGGCAGGGGCTGTGGGCGGAAAAGGAGGCCGAGATGTGAGGACTTGGTGGTTGAAGCTCTACCCTTCCACCTGCTACCAATGACCCAGACACCGCCCCCCCACCCAGAGCCTGACCGCTCTCTGACCTCTAACCCAGGGCCTCTGCTTGCTTAAATAGCACCTTTACGTGAATTAGAAAACAACACCCCTGGGACTTCCCTGGTGGTCCATTGGCTAAGAATCCGCCTGCCAATGCAGGGGACACGGGTTCGATCCCTGGTCCGGGAAGATCCCACATGCCGCAGAGCAACTAAGCCCGTGTGCCACAACTACTGAGACTGCATGCCACAACTACTGAAGCCTGTGCACAGCAATGAAGACACAGTACAACCAAAAAGAAAAAATCAGAAATAAAGTGTTGTCAGGTTTTTTAAAAAAAGGAAAAAAGAAAAGGACACCCCTTCCTCCAAGTAGACCCAGCCCCGACTCAGCCTCAGGGCGAAGCACTCTGTGCAGTGCACAACCTGAACAACGGTGCACAGGGGTTCTGTCCTAATACCCTGAGTGTCTGTGGTTTTGTGCTCCACACCCAGACCTCACCTTCACCTAGAGTGCTGGCCAGGGTGGGGGCAGAGGCTGAGCTGGCCCCCCGGGGTGTGTAAGCTTTGATGTAGAAGCTGTAGGCAGTGGAGGGCTCCAGGTCGCTCACCAGGTGCTGAAAGGTGCTCTTGCTGACTGCTTCCTGATACTCCAGCTCTGGTGGGTCTGGGGAGGCCAAGGGTAGGGCAGGGGATTAAAGGGGTATGAGGGAATCCTACCCACACTGGTGAAATGAGGGCAGCCAGGGTGCAGCCGGGAGAAAGAGGGAAGGTGTTGCGTCAGCACGTGTGGGATCGAGGGGGATGAGAAACAGTGAGTAAGAGGGAGGGGATGCAGAGGCAGCCTTGCCCTCCTGGGCCCCACCCACCAGCAGCCTTCCTGATATGCAGGACATAGCCGATGATCTCCTTGGTGTTGACCAGGGGCTCGGTCCAGGACACGCGGACCTCAGTGGACGACACAGAGACCGCCTGCACGTTGACGGGGGGCCCGGGCAGGCCCTCGGCCCACAGCACAGTCAGCCTGGCGCTGGCCTGAGAGGAGCCAGCGCTGTTCTCGGCCATACACTGGTAGATGGCCTCATCTTCAGGGCCGATTCCAGAAATGGTCAGGGTGCTGCAGGGGGAGGGAGAGCCTCAGATCCCCTGCTCCTTCCGGAGTATCCCTTGGAGGTTGGCCAAATCTCCCCATTTGAAAGATGGAGAAACTGAGCCCCTCCAGAAGACAATAGGCTTGTCTGAGATCTCTCAGCAAGTTAGGGGCAGACCTGGGACGACTCAAACCCAAGTCTCCAGACCCCCAGTTTAGTGTTCTTCCCTGGTAGGAGGTGCACAGCCTCCTACCATCTGGGCCTCACGCCGGCACACCCACCACACACGTGCCTGTTGTTATTCTTGAGCCGGACGTGGCCTCCTGGCCCCAGCACCTGTCCATTCTTCAACCACGTCACATGAGGGGGTGGCTCACCCTGGGCCTGGCAGGTGAACATGGCTGTGGTCCCAGCCGGCCTGGAGATGGACTGGGGGTGCTGGACAAACTCTGCTGGGGCTGGGGTTGGGGCGGGGGCGGGCACAAAGAAGCATAAGGGTCACGAGGGGTCAGGTGTACAGGGAGGGGACAGCTGTGAGTGAAGGGCTGAGGAAGGGGAAGAGGGTAGGGCCAGAGGTCTGCAGGGAACAAGTGGGTAGGGGACATACACACCCACCCTGCCCCGGGGAGAATCCTCCAGGTGGGGCCCACCCTCCTCCCCCAGCCTAGCCTCTGGGAGATGGTGGCAGCCCTCGCGTCCCTCCACCCCAGAGAGGCAGACCCAAGAGAGGACTCCATTTTAATGACTGTTTAAAAGACTGACATTTGTATCCGAAAGCAATCAAGCTGAGCTCCCTGTTCAGGAAATTGTTAAATAAATAAATGTGCTAATAGGTTTGGCTGCACCTCTAAGGCCGAAGGCCGGTAATGACGGGGAGACGGATGAGCCCTCAGGACCGGCCCCCCTCACCCCTACATTCAATTCCACTCTCCTCCAATCCCAAGCCTCAAACTTCCATTAACACCAGAGAAATGAAATGCTCCATCACTTCCATTTGGACAGATTAACAGCACACGGAACGCTAAACAAATGGGCATTTAAGTTCCTAACTCCCCTCTCTCCCACCTCTCTGGGAGGGAACAACCACAGAAAACCCCTGAGAATGGGACTCCAAGCCGGTTCACGGAGACAGTTTAGCCCCAGGGCAGGAGGATGGACAGAATGAGCTGGTCAGCTGCAGAGGCCCCACATACCATGGGAGTGGAGGCCGGCTCTGTGTGTGTGTGTGTGTGTGTGTGTGTGTGTGTGTGTCAGGAGCTGGGGTGTGATAGTGTGAAATGACAAACACACTGAGAGTGTGCAGGCAGGTGTGAGCGTGGAAGTGCCACACGTGTGAATGAGAACAGCACGTGGAGGGAGGGACACATGGGGGTGACACAGGTGGGGGAGACCAGCTGAGATGACAAAGTGGAAATGACTGGGGGGGGTGGCGATGGCACCTGGAGGGGCAGATGACCAAGAATGTCCTCGCATTCCCAACATACACATTCCTGGGGGAGGGGGAGAGACACAGAGCTGCTGCCTTTGGCCTGGGCTGGGGCCCTGGAGAGGGAGCAGGGGCAAGGTTAGGGCAAGGATAGGAAAGTGGGTGAGTACACGGCACTGGGCTTGGGCCAGGGATGTCGATGAGGCAGGGAATGTGGGGCGGGGAGGTCCGTACCTTGCACCACCAGCCGGCCCTGTGCCGTCCTCCTCACCCGGGTGCCGGGCCTGTTGGCTGCACAGACGTAGACGCCCGAGTGCTGGACGGTCACGTCTGAGATGATGAGGTTCCCCGTGCCCAGCACCTGTATGCCCTCCACCCCAATGGGGCGACCATCTGAAGGGGAAGGGGAGGGTCAGGGAGGTAGGTGTGCAGGAATGTCCAAACTTGGAATCGGCCACCATCAATCTTCCAGGGAGCCCCTGTCTTTGACTCTTCCCTCTGAGCAACATGGCATTGTGGAGGCGGCCAGAGCAGCACAGAAAACTCTCACCCAGCAGGAGAGAACTGGCTCCTGATCCTAACACTGTCACTGCCTCACTGGTGACCTTCAAGTCCCCTCCCCTCAGTTTCTCAAACAGGAAAGTAAGGGGTTTGGGTTACATGGACATTTCCCAGCTTGATGTGTCTCTCCTGAAAAAAGTTCCTTGGTCAGATATCCATTCTTCTCCTTGACTGTCACAATGCGCGTTAATATAAAGGCTCTGAGAAGTCCTGTAGCAAAGGGATCTGGTTTACTGTTTCCCAAACTTGTTAGACCACCAAGCCATTCTTTCCCCTTGCAGATTTCACTTTGGGAAATGTTGCACCAGATGGTCCTTGCAGGGCCTATGGGCTCCTCCTAATGGTGAGGCCACTCTTTCCAGCCTCTCCCAGTCCCCGGGCCCTCCCCCCACCCAGGATCAGATTAGCACAGTCAGAATGCGAGGAGACAGCTCCCCATTCAGTCCCTGAAGTGGTGAAATCTACTCCATTATCCTGCCTGCTGCCCCCTCCTTCCCGATCACTCAGCTGCTACAATGTGGCACAGTCTCCTTGTGAATGCGACCCCACCCCATCCCCTCCAGACTCTCCTTCCCCCAGTGACCTTTCCACTCAGACAATGTGGGCCCATCTGCACCCTTTCATTTCTCTCCTTCAGCTGCCTAGGGATTTAGGCTGGGGATTTAGGGGGCCAGGTTAGAGACTGGGGGGTCCAGAGAGAGGATGTGACAACTGGCTGAGATTTTGAGGGGTTTGGGATCGCATCACTGGGGAGGATGGCCAGGGTGTAGATGGCAGAGATGAGTCCGACCGGAAAGAGACTAGGGGTGCTGAGAGCTGCAGAGGGGTTCTGGAGGGCCCGATGGAGATGCCCAGAGTGAGGGGAGCATGGGGGAGGGGAGCTGGCGCAGGACTGCCAGGACTGGACGAGGTAACCTGGGGAGCTAAGCCATCTGCACAGAGGGAGGGAGAATGCAGTGGGCAGGCGGACCTCCCTGGTCCTGCCAAGGAGAGGGGAACCCACCCCCTCCCCAGGCCTCGAGGAGAACGGACCCCCACGGAGAACAAACAGGATTCCAAGTTCCCCCTGGAGCTGGATGAAGAGACTGGCCCTCCCAGGGGTGGGAGAGGCAGGGGCTGCAGGATGGGGCTCACCCAGGCGGCTCCAGGACACAATGGGGCGCGGGTTGCCCGTGGCGACACACTCGAGCACGGCGGTCTGGTGCACAGTCAGGGTGAGGTTCTCAGGCCCCACGAGGATCGTAGGCTCCTTGTAGGCCCCAGAGCCCGAGCCTGGGAGGAAGATGCCATATTTCTTCACTTTAGCTGGGACCCTTCCCACCTCCTCACCACACCCACCCACCCCCAATGCACGGCCTAGGACATGGTGGGTGGGAGACAAGCTCCAGCCCAGAAGCTGGGTCCCATGCGTAGAGAGGAGAAGCCAGCAGCCCCAGGACGTTGCTCACACTCATCTCTGCGGTCAGGCCCCGCAGGGCCTCCAGCGGTGGGAGAGCCACCCTCACCCAACCACCCATAAGCAGAGGGTGGGCTTCCTCAAGGAGAACTGAGCCAGGGAGGGACCTCGAACGCCTCCTGAACCCTCACCCTGAAGAGCACAGAACTTTGTGCTCACAAGGTGCTCTGTATGCACTTGGCTGTCCAGGCTCTGGGGCTCAGTTGAAGAGGGACTGATTGGAGGGTGGGGAGAAGAACGAGACAGGGCCAAGGACCCTCACCTGACACAGTGAGGCTGGCCCCATGGCTGACCCGGACACTGGCGACATTGGAGGCCACACAGTGGAAGACGCCGCTGTCCTCAGCCTGAAGGCCTGTGATCTGCAGGACCCCCTTGGGCAGCAGTGTGTACCTGTGGCGGGAGGGCACGGTCAGCCATAAGCAAGCACAAGCACCACTGGCCACAGGGTGACTCAGCATCACGGACACAGCCCAGGACCCGGCCACTACCCCAATGTCACTTTTGTCATCACAGACACACTACGGGACTCTCACAGGTGGATGCACCTGCGATTCCAGCCTCGACAACCATCACACACAGATCTTCGCGTGCATTCAAGTGTTGAATCTGGGCCCACAAACCACACAGATACTCAGCCTCAACAAAGTTGCAGAAACACCACCCTGGAGGCCGCAGGCAGGCCTACTTCAAGGCCCAGACACTGGACTGGCCTGCCTCTTGGTCATCCCTCCACCTTCCCCACCCGGGGCTCACCTCTCATTGTCTGTATCAATGGGGACTCTGTTCTTCTCCCAGGTGATCAGGGGTTTGGGAAGCCCATGGATTTGGCACTGGAAGCGGGCCACACCGCCCTCCTCACCCACGGTGGCCTGAGGGTGCACGTGGAAGTCGGACATGGCTGGAGAAAGAAAAGGAAATGTATATGGGGAAGGCACACTGCTGAGGTGCAGAGGGGATGGGAGAGGGCATGGGGGGCCTCGGGTCTGTGTCCTGGAGCCCTGGAGCTCACCCGGCTCAGGGCACAGGGTGTCTTCCCCCAAGCTGAGCTGGCAGGTGCAGGGCACAGCTTGCTGGGGGTACATCGGCACTTACCCTGCCTCCTACCTGTGGGAAACATCTCCCCCTAAGGGATGGTATAGGCCGGGCTGGGACACTTTGAGAAAGGTCTGGACAAATTCTTGGATAAACCTCTAACATGGAAATCTTGGGCTGCGGACCCACGAAGCCTAGTCAGAGAAAAGCCTTGCTCCCACGGCCTGCTCCCCACTTTTACAGCGGCTTTCGGATTTATTTTTATAAACTCCCTGTAAGGTATGCAAGTGCTAAGTATTATGCTGTACGTTTTACAGAATAGGAAACAGAGAGGGGAAGCGATTAGTCCAGTGTCACCCAGCAGGGACACTGGTCGTTAGAGCCTGGTTACCAGCACCCAGTGGCTTTCTTTGCCCTTCATCATCACCCCCTTATCCCCAGTTCTTCTGCAGCTTCTCAATGCACCCCAAGAAGGTGGTGTACCATCCAAGGTGACAAGCCTCTTAGAAGACAGTCAGACCTACCAATCTACATTTCAATGTGCCATAAATATTCAGGGGCTGCCTTCCCACCTTTTGGGGATCTGAACTGCTTGAGCTCTGATCATGGGAGGGGCCGTGGTGCACGCCCCCCACCCCCTTTTAGGCCGGTGAAGTGTTCCTGCCCACCCTCACTCCCATCCATCCTTACTCCCCAACCTGTAAAGCCCAGGGAAGGGGCCCCTCCCACATGGGTTCCCAGCTTCAGCACCAGGGCTGTGATTTCATTAAAATCCACTTTGCTTCAAGTGCAGGAAGGAGGCTCACCATCTGTCCAGGCAGGCAGCCCCTCCCCTCCAACACTCCATCAACTGGGACAGTTGTCCCCTCCCAGAAGAAGCCCTCCCTCTCCCCACAGCAGCAGGGACGCTGGAGTTTGTCCTGGTCCCTGCTCTGACTCCCTGGTGCGGGTGGGCACACCCCGTCTCAGGCCCCCTCAATCTACCGGTCTGTTCAGGACTCCAGGGCAGCTCAGAAAGGCCGAGCCTTTGTGCCCTTCTTCCCAGAGTCTCTGGGGGCTGACTCTTTTGTGGCACATTCTCCATCTCATTTGCATGTGGTTCATTAAATATAAACATGCATAAAAATCCCCAGCCCAGCCTCCTCCTCCTTCAGGGCCTCCTGGGAGTATGGCTGATGGGTGTGAGCGCGTCCTTGCACGTGTGTGCAGAGCTGTGCTCGCTGGGAGGACATGGTTGCCTCTGTGTATGTGGTGTGAGTGTCCAAGCTGGATGTGAATGGGGGAGGGGTTGTATCCCTCAGCTCCTGTGGCTGGTGTGTGATTCTGGTTCTGTGTAGGTAATCAATCACACATGTCCCTGTGTAGGTATAGTCCTTACAAAGGGCACCTTGGGGCCCTAGGAGCGGGAGATGGGGGCAAGCGCCCCAGCTGGTGTCCCCATCAGGCTCAGTGAGATGATCCCCAGGGAGCACTGTGAGGTCAGCCTGCCCAGGCTCAGGCCAAAGGCTGTGTTTGGCCAAGGGCCTGCAGGTCAGCCCAGAGGTTTGGGGCAGGGGGCTGAGGCACTGGTAGGGCCCCTCTACTGCTTCCAGGCCTCAACCTCTAGGAGCGCAGGGCTGGAGGCAGGGCTAGCGAGCGGAGAGGGCACCCCGGCTCCTGGGTCAGCTGTCTATGCCCCACCCACCCAGCCCTGCCCTTCAGGAGCTGGGGAGCTGCCTGCCCCCTCCTCACTCCAGCTGGAGAGGAGCCTGCAGCCCCCCAGGGACTTGGGGCGGGGACTAATGGCTCTGCTGACTACAGATGCCTCCTCATTAAGGAACCCGAATCCTTTTGTGTTTCTAGCCCCCATTCTGGGCTCCCTGGAGGCGCCTAGAGCTAGGAGCTGGCCTGAGGAGAGATGCAAGGGAAAGGGCTGCTTCTCATCAGGGCGCACTGGATGGAGAAAGTTTGGCCTCTAGCTTCTTTCTCCCCCTAAAACTAAACAATGAAGAAGCATGGGTTGAATGTGATGCTGCAGAGGAATGCTCGAGCAGGAAGGGGTGGTAGTTAAGGAGCCAGTCTGATCATCTTCACACTGTACAACAGAGTCCGAGGGGTCCCCAGGGGCCCCTGGGATGCACCTGGGGCCCCTCCCCACCCAGGGCTTCACATCTCCCCTCCATCAGAGCAGCACCTTGCAAAACCTCTCTATCAGCTTTACTTAACTGCAGTTCTGCCAAACATTTCATTTGAAAGGTAGCTTTGCTTTTAAAAGTGCTTGAAAACCACGCATGTAAAGCCAACACATTCATTTTATGAAAGGGAAACTGAGACCCAGGCCCAGTTGGTGGCTCTACTGGCCCCAAATCAGAAGTTCCATGCCCCAAGCCCTCTGCTGGGGTGTCTCCAGCAAATTTTTCACTCTCCAAGGACAGGTGACCCCAGGGCAGACTGCAGGCTGGGCCAGCCTCTTCTCACTGGCTGTGAGTTGGCACTGTGTGACAAGTTGCAGGGACGACAGTGAGCCCCCAAGAAGGTTTTTCTGTCCCGTCCCTCGGAGCCCAGCTGGTTAGGCAGTGTGGTCCGGGGGAGGGGGTGCAATAGGAGGGTGTGGTCCTCTTTATCTGAGGCTCCTTCTTCCCTCCCCTTCTTCCCACCCCTACTCAACCCTTGGGTCAGCCCTGTATATCCCTTCGGTGTCCTGGGGGATTGCAGTGAGACCGTGGGCAGGCAGTGTCAGGGTATAAAAGGGAAGAACAAACCTGACTCCATGTTGGATCTGTTTCTTTTTCTTTAACCTTTGTATTCTATTGCTTTTGCTACAAGTTAGTTGCTAAAGGGATGTTGCCTAGAGCTTAAAGTATACATGATGGCCCATCTCTGGGAACCCTGCCTCCCATAATAGGAGCGCTGGTCCTTTCCTCCACAGATGAAGGGGTGAACAGGTACTCTGCAGGGCCTCCCACGTCAGACTCCTGCCGCCTTCCTGTACAGGCCTTTGTCCACACTCAGCTGAGCTCACTCCGAGTTTGTCCACTCACTCTGAGTTCACTGCTGACTTCTTTAGGAAGTCAGGGGAGAAAATTTCTCAGGGCCACTTAGATCTCCGATCTCTCAGAGGGGAAACACGTTTGGTTTACGTGTCTGTTTTGCACTGGCTTGTACGAGCAGGCCATGGAGCCAGCTGTCCCTCATCGTGTCTCTCTGGGAGAGGGTCCCTGGGCAACCATGAGGACGTGGGGCTGAGGACTGGACCTCAGAAAACGCTGACCTCTGAGCAAGTCATTCTGGAGGCCACTGTGTGGTTGACAGTGGTGGGCACAGTGGCTGGAGGCACTATTTGTCAATAGTTTTTTATTATTATTATTTAAAATTTTTATTTTATTTATTTATTTTTGGCTGCGTTGGGTCTTCGTTGCTGCACACAGGCTTTCTCTAGTTGCGGCGAGCGGGGGCTACTCTTTGTTGCAGTGTGCGGGCTTCTCGTTGCGGTGGCTTCTCTTGTTGCAGAGCACAGGCTCTAGGTGTGCGGGCTTCAGCGGTTGTAGCACGCGGGCTCAGTAGTCGTGGCTCACGGGCTCTAGAGCGCAGGCTCAGTAGTTGTGGTGCACGGGCTTAGTTGCTCTGCAGCATGTGGGATCTTCCCGGACCAGGGTTCGAACCTGTGTCCCCTGCATTGGCAGGCGGGTTCTTAGCCACTGTGGAGGCACTATTTGTGGCCAGTGTGGGTAGCACTGTGTATGGGGCTGGTGGACATGAAGGTGGTGCTGTGGCTTGCGGCTAACGATGCTTTACCTTCCTGCTCACACCTGTTGGTCGGGTAGGAGCTGTTTCGGGTTCCTCACTTCAAGCTGGGTTATGGGAGGGGGCCGTGTTGGGAGGCCCCTCCTGTGTGAGGACCAGAGAGAGTGACAGGGAGGACAGAGGCCTGCTTGGGGGTCATTATGGAGAAAGGAAGAAGAAAGCACCTTTGTCCTCAAACAGTCTGAGAAGGAATCTCCCAGCCGCTCCCTGTCCTTGCCAGGGGTACAGCTAGGCCGTGGGGAAAGAGGGTTCACAGAGACAGCCCAGCAACCCACCGGGCTGGAAGGGAGCAGAAACCAGCAGGAAATGGCTCCTGGACACCCCTATAAATCACCCGAGGGGAGGGGAGTCTCCTGAGAGCCAGATCTAGAGCGGCTCAGGGAGGGGAGGGGAACTTTCCTCCTGGTCCACGACCTCTGGCGAGGTCAGGCCTGGATCTGATTAGACAGGCTCCAAGGGGACGCTGCAGGGGCAGGAAGGGTCGGGGCAGAGTGCTGGGAAGGAAGCCGGCAGCATACCCCAAGCCCAGCCTCCAACCCTTTGGCTACAGCCAGACTCCTATCTGGTGTGTGATGACAAAGAGATCAGTGGGCTTGCTGGGATGGAGAGTTCAAAACACAGCCTTTGCAGAAGCCAGCGGCACTGGAGGTCTGAGGCACCGACTGCCCCCACTCATACTGCCATTCAAGAGGAATAACCACGACCTGCAGACTCTTCCAAAGGCCATCCAAAGTCCCCTTCCTTGTATCCATCCCTGCCAAGGACCAGGGACACCCCGAACGCCCGGTTCCTCCTCACGCAGCTCAGATGATTGTAATGTTTTTCCTTCTACCAGAGGCACAGCTGAATCCCATATGCTTCCACCCAATGCCCCAACTTCCCCCTTGAGAATCTCATTTTTTAATAAAGTAAGTAGCCAGCTATTAAGCACTAGAAATGTGACCAGTCCAGATTGAGTTGGGCTGTAAGTGTAAAATACACACTGGATTTCGAAGATTTAGTACAAGATAAAAAGACACTAAGCATTGGGGAAATGCAAATCAAAACCATAATGAGAGGCCACATCACACCCATTGGGATGGC